TAAAAAAGGGCTGGAGATGTAGGTCAGTGTGAAGGCCCTAGGTTCAATCCCCAGGACAAAAAAAAAAAAACACAAACTGTATTCTCCCCAACCTCACGTTTTTGGGGAACTCCACCCACCCAGCATTTATTTCTACCCGAAATTATCATACGTATTCATGTTTATTCTCTTTCTCAGTCATGAAAACGGGAATCTTTGCCTTTCTTATGGCTATGTCCTACCCAGCTCAATCAGTACTTGACGAATGAATTAAGACCTGCTTCAAAATAGTTTGAAAAAGAAAGCAGGTGAATACTATCTGATTTCAAGATGTTATAAAGCAGTTCAGACCACATGATACTGGCATAAGGATAAACAAATAAATCAAGAGACATAATCAAGTCCAGAAACAGATTTGTGCATAAAAGGACAAGTGATTTTGAATCAATGTGCAAACTGGAGAGAGTCTTTTCAACAAACAGTGCTAAGCCATGCAGGTGGCACACATCTGTCATTCCAGCACTCTGAGAGGGTGAGGCAGGAAAATCACAAGTTGTAGCCCAGCCTGGGCAACTTAGTGACCCCGTGAGACCCTGTCTCTAATCTAAAAAAAAAAATGTTTAAACAGTCTGAAATAACTGGCTATCCATATGCAAGAAGGAGACAGGCGCACACACCTGTAATCCCAGCACTCAGAAGGCTGAGGCAGGAGGATTGCTGCAAGTTCCTGGGCTACACAGTGAGTTCAAGACCAACCTGGACTACTAAAAAAAAGGTGGGGGGGAACAGTTATAGGCAATATATGCAAAATTTAATTCAAAGAGAATTATAAACCTAAAACTATTAAGCTTGCAGAAGACAAAAAAAAAAAAAAATCTGAGCCCTAGGGTCAAATTTTCTCAGAAATGGTACCAAAAGCATGATCTGTACAAAAACAAATTGATAAACTCAACTTCATCAAAATTAAAAGCCCCAGGTCTTCCAAGTACAGTGAAAGCTCAGCATGATAGGACTCAAGCACAGTCCCAGCTACACTGAGGCTGAGGCAGGAGGAGCAAGAGTTCAGGGCCAGCAGGAACCACTGTGTGAGGCCCTGCCTCAGAATAAAATAAAAATGCCTCAGGATCCAGGTCAACACTAGAGCACTTGGCTGGCATGCATGAGGCCCTGGGTTCAACCCCCAGTACTGCCAAAAAGGGAAAGACAAGACAAGCAACAGACTAGAAGAAAATATTTGCAATTCCAACTACACTTGTATTCAGGTTCTGTAATTCTATAAAGAAATCTCGATAAGAAAACAAACTAGAAGCCAGGCATGGTAGCACACATTTATTATCCCAGCACTGGGAAGGCTGAGGCAAGTTTAAAGCCAGCCTGGACTACATACGCAGTTCAAGGCCAGCCTGAACTATACACTAAAACCTTGCTCAAAAACAAAATATAAAAAAAGAAAAAAAGAAAAAAAAAACTAGATTAAAAAAAAACAGGCAAAAGATTTGAAAAGATACATCAATAAACAAAATATACAAAGCCAGCCATGGTGGTACATGACTACAAGCCCAGAATTCAAGCCTGGTGTGGTGGCACATGCCTCTAATCCCAGCACTCAGGAGGCTGAGACAGGAGGATCCTTATGAGTTCCAGACCAGCCTGCAAAGTGAGCTCAAGGCCAGCCGGAACTGCATAGCAAGACCCTGTCTCAAAAAGACAGAAAAAATTCAAGAGGCTAAGGCAGGAAGATCACAAGTTCAAGGCTTTAAGGCTGGCCTGTTCTGAGGTACAAAGACAGAAAGAAAGAAAAAAAAGAAAGAAAAGAAGGAAGGAAGGAAGAAAGAAAATAAGCACATTAAAAAATAATATTATTAATCATTAGAGAAAATACAAATTAAAACTCCACTGAGTGCTAGGCGTGGTGGCACACACCTGTATTCCCAGCACTTGGGAGGCTGAGGCAGGAGGATCTTTGTAAGTTTGAGGCCAGCATGGGCTATAAAGTGTGCTCAATGCCAGCCTGAACTGCATCGCGAGACCCTGTCTCCAAAAGACAACAAAAAAAAAAAGAAAGAAAGAAAAAAAAACTCCACTGAGTTATCACAACACATCCACTAAAATCAATTTTAGTATATGTGCTGCTGAAGCGAGCACACGCCCACTAAAATCAAAAAGACTGACAATATGAGGTGTTGGCAAGGATGTGGAAAAACCACTCTTAAAACAGGTTGGCAACTTCTGAAAAAGTTAAATATATATCTACTCTATGATCCAGCCATTTCACTTATAGCTATAAACCATAGAGAAATGAAATTGTGTATCTACACAAACACTTGTAAATGAGATTTCACAGCATCTATTGTTTGCAATAGCCAAACTCTGCAACCAAATGTCCATCAACACTGCATAGATAAGCAAACTAGGTTAAACCTTCAATGGAATACTGTATAACTATGCAATAAAAATTAATGAACTATCTGACACACACATGGATGAATCTCAGCACATCTGCACTGAACATAAGAAGGTAAGCAAAAAGAGTACATCCTGCCTGATGTGGTGATGCAAGCCTGTAATCCCAGCACTCAGGGGGCTAAGGCAGGAAGATCGCCTCAAGTTCGAGGCCAGCCTGGGCTACATAGTGAGCTCAAGGCCACAGAGGACTACAGAGGGAGACCCTGTCTCAAAACAACAAACAAACAACAAACTAAGTACATCCTGCTTAATTCCATTTACATAAAAGTCTAGGAAATGTACAATAATGTGTAAGCACAGAATCAAAAAAAATGGCTGCCTGGGAATAAAAGGTATTATAAAAGGGTACAAAGAAACTTTGCCAGGGTAATGGTTATGGTTCATTATCTTTAGTGTAGTGATGCTTTCCCAAATGTACACACATGTCAAAAGTTATCAAATCAGCCAGGCGTGGTAGAGCATGCCTGTAACCCTAGCACTCAGGAAGCTGAGGCGGGAGGATCACTGTGAGTTTGAAGCCAGCCTAGGCTACATAGCGAATTCAAGACCAGCCTGAACTACATAGCAAAACCCTGTCCAAAAAAATAAAATAATAATAATCAAACTGTACACTTAAATCTACGCAGTTTATCGCATGTCATTTATACCCCAATGAAGCTGGTTAAACTACAATAATTACCAACGATGTGTTTGTTCATCACCTGACCTTTTAGGTAGCACACACATTCCTTCTCTATAGTAAGTACAACACATCGGGCTGGAGGGGAGAAAGAATTATTCCATTTCAAAACCGGTCATCTTGACCACTTGCTGCTTTGGCTATGCCCACACTTCTCTGCTTCTAAACTAACAAGCTGGACAATGTAGGGTCTATTACTACCCGGCCCCTCTCCCCACCCCCAGCTCTCAGTCTTTTTGTCTCCTAAAACAGCAGATCCTTACTTGTCTGGAAGAGCAGACACAAGGAACAAAAGGCCCAATGACTATTTGACAGATTAAAGAATAGACAACTGTCTTATTTAAAAGCTCCCTAAAGCATTACAACATTTGAGGCTATACACTGTTCTGCTGAAACGCAGTTATATATTACCCAGATCTGCAAGCACTTGCCAAGAGACCTGTCCAAGCCACTCACTTCCTAAGAGTTTGCAGTTTTCATTTCCCTCCCCGTTGTGTTCCATGTCCGTGCAGGAATAACAGGCAGGTGTGTCTTAAGGAGACATTCCGAATGTTTTTAGAAGTTTCTCAAAACGAGCAGCTTGAAACCATTTTTCTAATGTGCAAGGAGCTGGCCATCGCTGGACAATCATGGAAAAGAATGGACAATGGGTCTTATGTGTGAGTCTATGTAAAGAGTGATGACACAAAATAGCAGTCTCATTATCTGAAAACCAGAGGTCACACTAGTGTTTAACAACAAAATTAAGGCTTGCCCGTGATTAGGAATAGTTATATAAAATAATAACCGCAACGTGGTCATTACCACGGTGAATCCTGGCTCCACTTATTGGCTGAGTGTCACAGGACAGGATGCTTAACTTTCGAAACTGAATTACTCATCTTTAGAACGGGATAATAGTTCAGGCCTCATCAGATTGTCCTGAGGATTAACCGTGTTTGGCTCCTGGGAAGAGCTAAGTAAATGTTAGCTATGAGTAGTCTTAAGACCCTGAACTTTCAAAGGATCTCATTAACTCACTAATTCCCCTTCTAACCCTTAGTTTCCAATCCTACCATTTACTAGCATGTATTTATTTCTCGACCTCAGTTTCCACATCCGTAAAACGGGAGCCAGGATAGTTACTTGACTTTTATGGTTGTAGCGAAGGCTTGAATACCTAACTAGATAAAGCTCCTTTCCTTCCCACCTCCCAAATCTAAGATCGCAGAGAAAGGAAATACTTCTTAGTGACTGCAGACACTGTCAGTTTTTCCATTTCTGGCACATGAGGTGTGGGCAGAAGGAAGATGCAGAGGAGCACACAAAAGGGCCAAGGGTCCTGGGTGAAGTCCCCGAACGCGCGCCCTAGGCAGAGTGACCAAGAGCGACTCGGCCGGGGCGGGCCGGGCCCCGCGCAGCTCCCCTCCCGCGTCCCGGGCCGAGGAGCCACCCCGAGTGCGCGGGGTTATTTCGGAATCACCATGAGGCAATTCTCATGAGGCAATGGGTCAGGAATGCGGCGCCGAGCCGGGCCGCTGGCGTCCGCGGTTCCCCGGGCTGCTCTACCTGCCCCCGTCCGCACGGGCATCCCCCGGGCTCCGGGAGCCGGAACTCTGGAAGGCAGGAAATGAATGGGGACCTGCGGGGTGGGGGCGCCACGGGCCCGGGGGCCCGGGGAGGGCGAGGGGGCCGGGAAGCCGCCGACCCCCAGCCGGGACCGGAGTCTGAAGCCCGGCCGGGGCGCCC